AGAAACCAGAAGAACACAGACAATAGTAAGACAGAAACAGAACCGTCCTATACGGCAAAGTAAAACATAGTAAGTATCCCTAACTACTACATTCTGTGTATTTCCATACACATGTGAATCAATCAGAAAAACAAAAGAAAAACCCCCGCAAGTAAAACAAAGGATGAGGAAGCTTACCGGTGAAGAAAGGGTTCCGGGGAGAAAATCTCAGGATGAATGCGGCTCCGCAACACACCTTGAGAAGCAAGAAGTATGAATCGAGGTTTTATGGAGAAGGAGTCCGACGGAGCAAAGGGCAGTTCTGCAGATACGGGGGTTGTTTACGTTTTTTTTGAAAAAAAATGGCTTCGTAGTTTGAAGAGGGTATTTAAAGGAGCGAGAGTCTTCGACCCCTAACCGTCGGATGAAGACTTTTTAAATCCATCGGTGAGGGGGTCCTGCCCAGATCTGACGGTGACAATCAAGGGCGGGAAACGGAAGAGTCGCGATCCAAAGGCTCGCACTTATCCTTTCAAAAAAAAAAGGCCTTACGTCATCATGGGGAATCGACCGACGCGATGGTTGCGTCCCCCGAAGGAAATCTGAAGTGTCCAGGTAATCATTGCGGGTGAAGGCTTGGGACCGGTTTCCCACACCCGAAGCACGGAAGTACGGCCGAACCAAAGCTCGAGGCCACCTAAAAGGAGCCCTCGACCTGGGGGGTAGCTGTTGTGTGGGAAAATGTGCCGGACACCTGGACGAGCGATAGTGCGACACGTGGCCTTAACTACTCCCCACCAAGCAACAACGCTCGATGTCTACAGCTCTAAAGAGCCCAAGCACGAAGCCCAACTCCAGGCGACGATTCCTTCTGGCGTCGACCGATCGTGCCGTCGAGAGTAAGACACAAAAGATCTCTGGACCGCAGAATCGACCACCAAGGAGGACGATTGGGTTAAGCGGCGTCGCTGGTGACGAGGGGAACGTACATTCTCCAGAGAACGTGGCAAGTTGAGTACAAAGGTGGGGGACGTCAACAGGCATTAATGGCAAGCTCTTAAACTGCCCCACAGGGGACAAGAGAGTGTTACAGGGGTTCACAGAGCCGTAATAGAAGACTAATTAGCTGAGTGAACAGTGTTGATTGATGGGCTACGTCTGGGCCTAAAAAGGGAGAGCACTCGAGTACTTCTGCCTAGGAGGGAAACCCACCCAGCGAAGAAAGCCCAGTATAAAAGAATGGTGACCCCCTACGAGAAAGAGGTTGAGATCCAAGCAGAGAAAGAAGAGAGTGAGAGATAACAATTAGTGTAAATTGTAATCCCCTCAAAAGGAAATATACAACCACAGTGGAGGTAGCTCTAATTTTACAGGGTGAACCACTATAAAATTTCGTATCTTCTTTATTTATGCATATCCAAAAAACAATAAACTCCAAAGGGAAACCAAGAGATAACCCGACCGGTTTTTGTTAATGAGAAACCACCGTCAACAAAACGTAACCTCGTTTTCTTTACGTTATTAACTATACACATTTTCAATCAATATCTAATATCATCTCTCCAAGAACTAATACTAATTAAACTTGAGTTGATATTTACAAAGAAAAACAATTCTACTAAAACTTACCTTCCTCCTAATTTAGAAAATCGATTTTAGGGTTTTATTTCAAAATCCATACCAAATATTTACAAGCACTTCGTTTATATTATTTATCTAATAGCTTTTAGTTTTTCTTACTAATTAGATCTACCATAATTAACCTTATACACCGGCAGTTAATTTTCTATCCCCAAAGTTGAACTTCATGTACTAAAATGAAAGGTTAGATATTAATGGGGAAAAAGTTAGAAGTATGAATCCTATTGAGCCATTTTCTTATTTACTTCATTATATTATAATAATTTATATTATAATGTAGTTATATCTTATAACATATAATATAATATATTATAATTATATACGTATATTACAATATATCATATTTAATATTATAATAATATCTTATATTATGTATTATACATTGTAATTATATTTATCATTAATATAATATGCAATATAATCGTCATATTGTAATTAACAGTAATTATTATAATTATATGTATCATTATAATATAATATAGTTGTGATATTGTAATAAATAATTATAATAATAATTAGGATAGTAGTATTTTCTATAAAATTAAATATAATAATTATATATTTTATAAATAATAATATTACATTATATTATATTATGTTACATTATTTTATAGGATATAGATGTGATGTTTTCATTAATAATATGATATAGTTAAAATGAAAATTAGGATTTTATTATTTTAAATATATAATATTATAATTATAATCATATACTATATTTTATAATATTATAATTAAGTATTTATATAATTATAATAGATAATATATTATAATTAAAAAAGATAATATACTATATTATATATTATAATTATAATATGTAAATATTATATAACTATCATTTTAATTATATATATTATACCCTTATAATTATATAAATATATATAATATTAGTTATTAAATGATTATATTAATATATATGATATTAGTTATATTAGCATGAGGGGTAATTTTATCAACATTAAAATATTCATATCTCATTTCATTGTATTTGTAAAAGTAGCACCAAATAAATGAATCATTTTTCCTTTCCATTCTATTCTATTACTATTCTCATTTCTATTTCTATTACCGTACATCCACTGCAACCAAATGCATCCTAAATGCTTTAGAGCTTATAGTCGTCCTTTCACTATGCTTAGAGCCTGTTTGGTTGGAGGATTCGTTCTCTGATTCGAATCATGGTTCATGGTTCGCTACAGTATTTTTTCTCACAAAAAATACACGTAAATCAAAAATAGTTCTAATCTCATGGTTCTAATCCATGAACCAAACGGACTTTAGAGACCCCAATACTTCACGTCCAATAGACAAGCAAGCACTCTCTAACAAACTAAGATAATTGATATTTTTTTCCATTTCTTTATGTCCTTCAAGAAGGATTGATAAGGTTGTTCACCAAACAATTAGGAAATAAAATATCATGAAACAAGGTTGTTATATTAGAATAAATACACCAAACCAAAATCTACAAAGAAATCTTATGTTATGGTACTTGTAAAAAGAACTAAGCCCGCTCACACTTAGATCCAATAGAGGTTTAGTTACCTCACCGACCGACAGTTCTAATTATTGGTGATAAAGCATTATTTATAAATTTTGTTTTTTGGGAATCAAATTTAGTGATTTGATCAACATTCAAGATGTTTATAAGATAGTAGTTAGGATTAAAATCCAAAAAGAGATTAAGTTATGTTGGCTCTTATTAAAATTCATATCAGATTAAATATATATATATATATATGCAGAATATATATCAAATATTATAGAACTGACGTTGAAAACAGAGCTTTTTCATTAGTTATTTTTTAGTGCCTACTAGAGATGGATTCAAGAAATGAAACAACAATATTTCTTTGCTAAAGAGAGAAACATATGGGTGACATTAACATACAAAAGTAATATTCTAAAGCAGTGTAAAGGCAGGGAAATAACTTGTCAAAGGCTCCATCTTTGCCCTAAAAAATAACCAAAAAAATCCCACGTACGGGGTCGAGTTCCCATAGGATGTGATGTAACGTAATGGCCTCAGCTCAAAAACTCACAAAAGAAAATATACATTTTTAGTGAAAATAAAAATAGCTAGGGTACGTAGGATTACTTTAGGTGCTCTGGCCAAATTCAGGGCCACTTGCAAATACCAAAATAGCATGTCATGTGGGAATTTTTTAGCTAATCATGTCATGTGGGAATTTAATGCACTATATTTCCTTTAGGTGAATGAAAAGTAACCAATTTTTGGGTTTCTAGTACTGCTACTACTCTTATTATCATGTCATAATTCTGCCACATTAAATTCATCTTTTTGCATGACATCTTTCTTTTCTTTTCTTTTTTTCTTCTCCTTCTTTTGCCTTGACGCAACAATGGAAGAATATATGGTCAAATATAGCAACCCCGCTAGCCAACAGGAGAGAGAGAGAGAGAAAGAGAGAGAGAGAGAGAGAGAGAGAGAGAGAGAGAGAGAGAGATGAAAATTACATGAAACATGGTTTTGTTGCATGGCAATTCATTAGGGCATATGGGTAGGTTTCCTATGTTTAGAAATTTTGTGATGTGAGCCACGTACATATGTCCACTAAACTACTACAATAAATACAAAAAATCCCTATACCGCCTTTACACATGCACGCTCTAGAACAACCACAAACACACACGACACACCCACTTGTTCCTAAACTTTATCTCTCTCTCTCTCTCTCTCTGCAGTTTCCATTTCTTTTTTCACTTCCTTCAGTAGGTCATTGGCGATAAAATTCTATGTGGAGAGTGATTAATTAAATAAGTGCCTATTGTACTCTTTTACAAAGATATATATAACTATGCGCTAATAACCCTTTCTTGTTTTTTAAAGACTTTACGTAACTTTGCCCGTTACGCTAGTTCATCAACTCCTTGTTAATTTGCAACTTGAAAAGGTTATTTAAAAAAAAAAAACTTTATGCTTATCTCTTTTAAAACCAAAATCATAGGATAATCATTTAACGTTAAACGGACAAAGTGACTTGAATATGTATATATTTACAGTAGAAACCGTGTGTTTTTGGTCCCCTATCATAATTTGGCTGTGTATTATTAATCAATTGATTTTGTAGCATTCTCACTGGTAAAAAGACTAAAACCTACACCCGAAGTACTTTTTCTTTTCTTTTTTTTTTCCCTCCTTTTTATTGGGTTATTATCTTTTGCCAACCATGCAGTTAAAGCTTAAGAAAACTACAAAAAGAGGAACTAAGAAAAGGATAAAAGAAAAAGAGAGAATTAAAGACTAGAAAGAAAGGCCTTCTGTGGGGGTCCCATCCTTAATTAAATACTATTCTAATGGCCGCAAGAGGCGCTAATATAAATCCCCTCATTTCCTAGTTTCCCTGCCCTCCCACCACAACTACAGTCACCTCTTCTCTGCAAAACACAAAACTCTCTCAGACAATAAAGCAAACAACTTGAATCATTTCTCAAGTTCTCGAAACGTTTCTCTCTCCCACCGCCATGGCTAGGCCTCAACAGCGGTACCGAGGCGTGCGCCAGAGACATTGGGGCTCTTGGGTCTCCGAGATTCGCCACCCTTTACTGTAATGCACTCTCTACAGAAACGTTTCTGATTTTCTGCCATTCATTCGACGAAACGTTTTTTTTTCTTACTCCAGTGTTTTCTTCTTTTGGAATAACAGGAAGACGAGAATTTGGCTGGGCACGTTCGAAACGGCGGAGGATGCAGCAAGAGCGTATGATCAAGCGGCTAGGATCATGTGTGGGCCAAAAGCACGTACCAACTTTCCCTACAATCCCAATGAGCCTCATTCAAGCTCATCCAATAAGCTTCTCTCGGATACTCTAAAAGCCAAGCTTCAAAAATGCAACGTAGCTTCTCTTCAAATGGCAAAACAACCTGTTTTAAGCGAGCCCCACGTGGCGCAATACCGCAGCGCCACGCCGGTCTCCACTTCTAGCGCCGGCATTGCCGGAAACAGAGGCATGGCGGGCTTCGAGTGGCCGGAAAAGAGAGGCGGCGTCGTGGATTGGCCTGAGGGGAATTGGGTTGGTGGCAATGGTCAAGGGGAGATAAGTAGTACTAATCAACAGTTGATCAAGCCACTTGAGGATGATCACATAGAGCAAATGATTGAGGAGTTGCTTGATTATAGCTACATTGAACTCTGCCCTGGTGTGCCATGAGATATAAAGCTATATATATGTGATCATCACCACATGATGAGTTTGGTCAAATCACAGCCGTTCATGTGTCATGTTTGTGTGATTAAACCAAACATCCATGTCATGTGGTGATCATATCATACCCTTTTGATTGGCTCTTAGTCCTCCTCTTGTATGTTCAAATTGCATCTTTTTTTCTTTCTTTCTTTTTATTGGTCATAGCTAGCTAGCTAGCTTATTAGCTATATGGAATAAAGGTAGATGAGTTTTACATGGTATTCCATCTAGTGTGAAAACATCTAATGAGATTCAGCCTAATATGATCAATATGTTGTTTTGACAATGGCCATTATAGTACATAAATATATGTGGGACATATATATTACATCAGAAGATGAATAGAAATTTCTACCTTTTTCTAAGAATTTCTGACCAGCCGCAAATATTAGAACTTGGCATGGTCAGTCTTTTGTTTCACTCTGTATTGGTGGGGATTGTTTGTATGAAACCGATTGAGATTTCATTGATCTTGATAGGACGAAGGAAAAGGCGAGAAAAGTGAAGAAGACATAAAAGAGGACAAAAGTGCAAAGAAAACATAGTATATAAATTTTTTGTGCTCATTATCCAATGGATAAGAATACATCCGCTTCAACATTGTCAGTATAGTATAGTCCTAACTCCACCAGTTAGGGATAAGTATCAATGTGAATGACACCGGAGCAGATTGATACCAAACTTAAAATGCTCATCCATACACCAACACATAACCAAGATATATATTAAAAAAAAAGGGGTGCTTCTTAGGTTCCAAACTTCTTTAATTGAACTTGTGGGTTTTGTTACTATATTTGATTTATATATCTGTTTTTTTGACGGTTAATTTTTTTTATTCCCTAGATTAGGCACTTAGAGAGATCATCTAGGCCACTATATATACAACAAATTGATATTATGAGGTCTTTGCCAAAATGGGCAATTAAAGTACCTAATGTTTCCTGTTAATTTTTGCATATAATTAGAAGAAAACAATGATTTGGTCAGTAGCTAATATATGGTAATTTAAATTAGAATTGTTGTCTTCAATTAATAAGTCAATAGTTTTTCGTTAGAGGAATATGCATTCAGACGGCACAATATTTGGACAAGTTTGCCACAAGTCAAGAGTTTGATGGTGATTCATTTTTCTTTCACCATAAACATTCTCATTGTTTTCACACTTGCTTTTTTTCCAGATGATATAGACTTGACAAACTTTGCTATCTTTCCAGGTTGGATCTGTTGATTCTCTAGAAGCGCCACTTTTGGGATAGAATAAATGACAAACATATACACGGATCATATTATAGACGTCTATAAGACTATTATAACCCATGATGCACATCTATAGGATTTGAGCCGACAGGTTGAAGGTAAAATATGCTTCTTCCCATCAACTTGTTCCAAATCAAACCAAATCTAGATTCCTGTCCATTTCAAGAAATAAAATCTAACCAGTGTTTTATATCATCGGAGAATTGTATCGTACCAAAATTAGAATGTGACTAGCTATATTCTAGCCTTTTACTTTCCTAAATGTTGTGCTGTTCTGGCTTGTAATTTGTGAATCTAAATCTATTGTCCCATTTTTGGTGTCCTAATTAATGTCTAACTAATTAAATCATACAACATCATTTTATAATAAGCACAGAAAAATTAGTTAAAAAGTAATCTAAATTTTTTACATCAACAGATTTGAGTCTGTAATTTGTAGTGTTGAGCAGTTGTCTAATTTGCAAGCACTAATTGTCTCTTATTTTTCATGTTTGATACTTGACCTATCTAAATAGTAAAACAAAGCGACCATTATTAATTAATAACTAACGAAAGAAAATTCTTTATTAGGGTAAAAACTATGTTATACTGTCTATGATAGAGCTAGAAAATTTTTTCAGCACGACCCTTTCAAAAAAGTTATACATAATTTTATATCTAATAGAGATGTAATTATATATTTTAATTATTGAGCGCGTATACAGTTGTAATATTTATAAAGTGCACTAATATATAGTTTTTGTATAAAGTAGGGCACAACAAAAAAAATTAAAAAATTTTGAAGATAAAATCTAATTTTCAAGATTTGAGAGGGAGTACGTCCTCCACTGGCTAGGTTGTGGCTCAGTTACTTGGTGGTAGTGGATAAGATTACCAATATTTTCATAAAATTCTGTTGAAATTTGCATGTTTTTTTCATTCTCATTTGATTTAAGGTGATTAAGGTACATAATTGAATGTTTTCTTCGTCTCTATCACATAATCCTCCATGAAAGGAGAAATTGATTTAATAATTGATTCACGCATATACTTCGCATTTTGCTAAGTACTAAGATCACTAATTTTGGATTCTGTGCTGTTTAAAAGAAACACGAAAAATCTGCCATGAACATTGGGCATGCTTTGGCGGTCAATTCATCCCAAAAACCAAATGAGTATTATCATCCCATCAATGCTGGACTTGCCATTATTGCACTTGTCAACATGATTTCATCTTCATTCTCTGAACTCGGAAGTATATAAATATGTATAGGTATATTATTTTTTGGAGAGTAAATAATATACTGCTTTTGGACAAATTAGCAGTCAAATATGATGGAAAATGCATTTTGTCTGTCACCTTTTTTTGGAGTACGCTAGTTGGGGGATTTTCCTCATGCTTATAAACAAGGTCGTGCAGCTTCCAACAATATGGACCCTACATGTCGTTTTTGTTCCGCATTTATATATCATATATAATCATAGTCAAGTAAAATGATTTGCTTACATCAACCAAGATCAGGCAACATGATTTGAAAATCAACTATTGTTATACGTGCATAAACTTTACCATCTTTTTGTCGCTTGTTTATATATTTTATTTTTACCTTTTTCGCATTGTGATGTGAGTTGCTATAGTATAACTTGCTACAAATTTCTTTTTTTTTTTTTGAAAAAAAAAATTAATTCTAGTTGCAATATAGCTGTCATTTTTTTTTTTTACTATTTTAAGTTTTATTTATTTATTTAGAAAAGTTAATTAATTCCTAGTTCACGTCAATAATTTGAATGTGGGGAAAACAAGGGCGTGCTACAAAAGCTAATATTATAATAGTGGGATTGGATTCTCCTATTCTAATCTCATGCCGTGATGATTATTCATGTACGGTAGGGAATTGGTTTTGTTCCCCACAACCATTGACAAGGGAAATATGAGACACATTCTCATGTCTCGTGATAATACTTTGAATTTCAAAAAGATGATTGAATGATCGATCACACAGTACGTATTCTAAGATATTGTTTATTTTATCGATTCAAATTTTTAATTTTAGTTTTATTACATTTTAAATCTCTCATAAAAAGTCACATATAACTTTTTTGTTACAGTTAAAAATTCTCATATAAAGTCACATCTCAGCTCGAATTAAAAACTCAAATCGACGAACTGAATGAGACCTTAGTTTAATTATTGATCTCTGTCTGTTTATACATATAACCTTTAATGGTTTTTTGGTAGTAAACAAAGAATTATTCAGCTAATTTAATTATATGTTTGATCAGATATTTGAACAAATAATCAGCGGTACAGTCCAAATGGGAGCTATGGGTTATCATTGAAACATGAAAAAAGCTATAAAAAAAAAAAAAAAAGCAGTCAAAATTAATTATAGTGCATGGAATCTCATGCTAAAATCATGGAGGGAGGCAATCATATGGCATTAGCCTTGTATTCCTTTAATTATACTTAGATTTGTTTAATTAATTCACACACAAACACACACACACACACACACACATATATATTCCAGTTCGGATTCATCTATCATATTGGTTTTAGATACTTTGAGAGTGGAGCCGTGACTATTTCTTTTATATATATTGGTGAGATTTTACATGAGTAGTTACTATCAAATATAGAAATTTGATGATGCAATGTAATAGCAATTTAATTTTATTAGTTATTATAAATTTTTGTAATTAACTATTTAATTTATTATAACTGTCAGATTAATATCTTTTAGTTAAAATAACAATATATATTGAATAGAAAATATTAGAATTATCATTATATATTTAATGGTTACTCAATTATGTGTGCGTTTATTAACACTCTCATTTCTACTTTTCACACACATTATTAAACCATCATATTTTTACTTATTATACCCCTCTTAAATTTCTTTAAAAGTCCCTAAAATTAAATTACTCTTATTTTATTTTTTACACACATTCTTAAACCACCCTCATTTTACTTGTTACACTACACCCCTTCTAAAATTTCAAAAAAAAAAAAATCCTTGCAACTAACTTGTATTATTTTTTGGTTTTTTTTTTTTTCACCCACCCACTAACCAAACTTATCATTTTCTTTGTGTTTTTTTTTTTTTTCCCCCCCCCACTAACCAAACTTATCATTTTCTTTGTGTTTTTTTTTTTTTTTTCTCAGATTATAGTTAGTCTTTTAGACGCAGACCACTTTATTAGAGAAGTCAATCTTTGATTCTGGTACACTAGCTTGATTCAAGTAACTAACTTTTAAATTAATAATCGTTTTTTTTTTTAATTATTTCATCCAAGATTCTTTTGTGTTTTACGGAGATAGAATTAATATTTTGTACAAAGTTCTATTTCTCTGCACGCGAAATTATACCTGTTGGAGTTTGTGAAGTGAAGCCACATGCATACATATATAATATATATATATATATATATATAGATATATGTATAGCTTTATTTGTCTATTTTTTATTAATTTTGATAATTGAAAATCTTGTTTTTTTTCCCTTCAAAATCTAGATAGTTGTCGTCTTTGTTTCAATTTCTGGGTGAAAAAATTGTCTTTCTTTCCATCTTTTAATATGAATATATGATACAAAATTATTAGTTTCGTTAATATAATATTAAGAGGTTAATTACCCATGCATTTATTTATTTATTTAGTTTTTGCAAAGAGAACGATGAATTCCAAAGAGATTTGTTTTTCTTCTCCCTTTACAAAAAGCCTAAAACGTAGAATCTCCTTATGCTAAGAACGATTCAATATATTGAATTTCACAGAGAATACCAATTAATAAGATATTAGGAATAGAAAAAAAAAACGCTTTCTTAATTGTTTTTCATTTGAATGCCATATAATGCTATTCATTCTCGAATAGTTACTTTGGCTATTTAATATTTAAAAGGGAATAAATTTTTCTTTTTCAAGATGGGGTAATGAGTAGTATTTTTTTAATAATTTTTTCTTTAAAGTAATTTTA